GGGATTTTTTTTTCGTGAGTAACTATAAAAAACGACATGTGCGATTATAAATGAGGATGTTCGTTTGTTTGTTCGCTATACATTTCTTGGCTCTTCGACCAATTGCTAAGAAATTCGGTACTTACTTTCAAATCTTTTTAACGTATGTACAGTACGTCATGTCGTATATTGCTTTTGGAAATTTCGGTTGAATTTCTATAAATCCATTATTTTCTTTACATTTTGTTTCGTTTATTTAGTTATTACAATGCAACACTTGGGCCATTTGTCTAGAGCATACACGGCCAACATACGGCCCGCGGGCCAAATCCAACCTGTCTAATGTATGTATGTGATCAGCGATCAATCTTTAAATATTAGCTAGTGAAGTCCGAATAGCTCGATGAAAAATTCTGAAACCTAAAAAAGAAATAAAGGTCAACAACTCACTGTGCGTTTAGAGTTAACTCTCCATTACAAATCTCGTAATTATAACGTAGAATGTTCATAAAGCATGATAATTTGAAAAATGTATCTGTAATCTCTATCTACAGGTTGACACCACGATGAGATCTCGCACTACCTTAAAATCTTTCTAGGGCAGCCTTTGGTTCGGCCCGTGGAAGAAGTTTTCTTCCTAATTTAGCCCGGGGGCAAAAACTCTTGCCCACCCCTTGTCTAGGGGGGTACCTTCCAGGAGGATTTTTAAAAGGAGACTGGCTTCTATTTCGGCATTACAGACGTGGAGAAAACCCGAAAAACTTTACGTGGCCAGGCTGTCCGAGCGCTCGACCAAAACTCAGTATAAAATCAGTATAAGTGTGAAATGAAGTGTTGCAATAATTGAAATGACTGTCTCTCACTATTAATATTCTGCATTTCTAAACCTCCTCTTAACATCGTCATAATATAAAAATATACGTTTATATTCCAAACGTTAATTTTGAGGAGAGATTAGTTTTATACATTATAAATGCTAAGGACGAGTAACAAAATTAAGTACGTCATCACTTGAAATTCGATAATGCACTCCCTCGACCTTTATCCACTCAAATTTAATGGCATTTATCTCCCTAATACACGAACTCGCTAAAAATTTCAGAGATTTGCTGGAAAGCAAACAGAAATTATAAAGCTGTAAACTGGATGTACGAAATTACCTTCCGAGATACATCCAGGAAAGAAAAAACGAATTTCTAAATATACTTTGTCTGTTTCGATAAGCATTTAGTCATTTTTTATAATGTTTTCCTTTTAGAGATTTAATATAAATTTATATTATAAACATTAGTTTTAGATTGAAAATTATTCCATCCATATACAGTACAGCTTTTATCATATCAGCGCTGGTTACAAAGTAGTATGTGAAAACTCAAACAAAATATGACCACACATATTTTAAAAATTCAAAAACTAAAATTAATTTTTATTAAAAATGTAGAAAAAATATCAAATAATTACTACTACAAGTAGTCATTAGTACAGTATTTTTCAATTGTTTTTATTATTAATATAAAGTCGTTTTAACAATAAGTGATAACTTACATTAATAACTTGAAAATTTACACATTAATATAAAAAAATTTTCCGAATAAAATAAAATCCGTAAATTTTAGGCACTATCATAAAAACATTAAACAGAGCTACGGGCTTTCCTTCTTTCCGGAAGTTTCTCCATCCTCTGATTCTTGAGAGTTGTTCGTAGTCGACTTTGTGGCCATCCACTCCTCCGCCAAACTCTCGATTACGGCCACGTGATACGCGTCTCGAGATTTCACTTTCCCTGGTCCCGCAAACTTTTCTTTGTAAAGCATGTAGCTATTCAACGCCATTCTGGCTATGACGTTGAACGCTAAATTCTTCCAATACTTCATTGATTTACTTTTATCATAACCTGTATATAACACCATATCGGATATATCGACTCCACTCATATATTTGTTATAATTTTGAATTATTTCTGGCTTTATTTTAGCCTTTCCATTTCTAATTATTTCTACATCTCGTGCCCATGCGTGGCTAGATAATATAAAGATAGGGTTCATTTGTGACTGCTTCTCTTTAAAGCCGCAGGCTAACAAGGGACCAGATCGGAAATACGATGTTTCTTTGTCTGCAAAGTTCTTCTTGAACTGTTTGGGTAGCATTTTCTGGTTCCCCCGAACAGTTCCAGTGACATAAGTCTGTAGAGAATACAAACGGTGAACAAGGGGAACCGACATGAAACATCTGTCGATAAAGAAATGGTACCCTTTGTTCAGGTAAATATCAATCNCTTTTTAAGACAGAATTATATTAAACTGTGCAGATCTTTTTGTTGTTAGCATTTACACTATGAGAAAAATTTTTCATGTAGCTTATCCTTACAATTTGTGCAAACAGTTCGTGACCGCCTACTTAAGATACTACTGCTGCACACACAGGTACGAGCTTTCTTTCTTCCTGAAAGTTTCTCCAGCCTCTGGTTCGTGAGAGTTGTTTGTAGTCAACTTGGTGGCCATCCACTCCTCCGCCAAGCTCTCGATTACGGCCACGTGATACTCGTCTTGAGATTTCACTTTCCCTGGTCCCGCAAAACTTTCTTTGTAAAGTATGTAGCTATTCAACGTCATCCTGGCTATGACGTTGAACGCTAAATTTTTCCAATACTTCTTTGACCTACTTTTATCATAACATATACATAACACCATGTCGGATATATCGACCCCGCTTATGAATTTGTTATGATTTTGAATTATTTCTGGCTTCAATTTAGCTTTTCCATTTCTAATTACTTCTACATCTCGTGCCCATGCGTGACTGGATAATATAAAGATAGGCTTCTTTTGTGACTGCTTTTCTTTAAAGCCGCAAGCTAACACGGGACCAGATCTAAAATATAATGTTTCTCCGGCTGCAAATTTCTTCTTGAACTGTTGGGGTAGCATTTTGTGGTCGCCCCGAACAGTTCCGGTGACATAAGTCTGTAGAGAATACAGACGGCGAACAAGCGGAACCGACATGAAACGTTCGTCGATAAAAAAAATGGTACCCTTTGTTCAGGTAAATATCAATCTCGAGCAGTTTTTGCACAACAGTATGGCCTAAACCTAATTCTGATATGCTGTGATCCTCTTGCTGAGACTCGGCCCGTTCAAAAGGGAATAATCCCAAGCAGTAACTAGATACTGAGTCGATCATCATCCAGAATTTGTAACCCACATAGATTTCGTCAACAGATATTTCCTGATGAGGTATGTAATGGTATTGGGAGATTCTGTTCAAATGATTCAAAAGAGGCTGGAATTTGGCAAACGGATCATGACCGGATTTTCCACTGCCAGGCAACTTACTGTCATCGACGAGATGAAAGAAACTTAGCAATTGACAAAATCGCTGTTTAGAAAACATTTTCCGAAACCACGAATCGGATTGGATGGGAGAAGCGTATGATGATTCTGTGCGACCCACATTTAAAATACACGCCAAAAACCCTTTCATCTCTGGAACAGAGACTTTGGTCCAGTTCTTCAAATAGGATGGTACGTTATTTCCCATGCCATTTAACACTTGCTGCGCATATCGATTGGTTTCCTCCACCATAAGAGACAGCAAACTACTAGTGAAAAACACATAGAAATATGCGATAGGAGGAGAATGGAGAAATGGCATATGTCTTGGGCCAGGCCAGGTACCTCACGAAAAGAAAAAGGAAAAGGGTGAGGTTCTTCCAGTGAGAGAACCCCGCAGTAGTTTTTATCTTCCATTTCGTCATCACTGTGAGAATGTGTAGCTGAAGTGGAGGGAGTGGCCACATCATGTTCAGGCTCATAGTCTTCATCTGCAAAACTAGAAAGGGAGGTTAGACTTGAAGAATCCACATCATCTTCAGATTCATAGTCTCCATCTGCAAAACTAGAGAGGGAGGTTAGACTTGAAGAATCCACATCATCTTCAGACTCATAGTCTTCAACTTCAAAACTACTTAGATCAGACTCGAATTCAGAGTCACTTGTTATCCGATCTGAATTCTCAACTTCGAAATTTCTGTCAGAAGAGGCAGCCATTTTCTGGAAAAATCCTATTTAGAATAAAAACCGTATTACAGTAATATAGAAAATAATACTATACAGTAGATTCTCGATATTCCGAGGGATTCAGTGATGCCCGTCAGACTGGCACAAATGAAATTTTCTGATTATCACTTAGTATGTGCGACAGATAGAATGAGGTATAGTACATACTGGTATGTTATTATCAGTTGTTTGTTGCAAAAGCGAAACATTCAAGTGTTTTTGCTGCATTGGTAATTACAGTGGTGCGTTATCCTATAAGTTAAAAAAAATCTATTGCTTGGGGTTTCACGAACAGGGTGTCCCTAACCAATCTTTTATTATAAAATTTTGTATTTACAGTATTTCTAAACAATACTCCGTTTTTTTTCTCTCTAAATTTCATTTACAATTGACACATGCATAATAGACATAAAATAAATTTTTGAGTGATCATCCATTTAAAAAAGATTTTAAAAACAGAAACTACTTTCAAACTAGCCACTGTTTCATCTGTCATTGCTTAGTTGCATCTTATTTTTAATTTATTTAAATTAAAATACATCATCCCTATTTCAAGTTAATAATGTCTTGCCCCTGTACATCATACTTTTCCGCTAACAATAAACTCTTGCCAGTGATCTATCTAACAGGAGAAATTTTTTTAATTAAAATAACGTCGTATATAGTTAATTTTGCCCCTAGGGGTTTCCATACTGGATCTCGTCTTTCATCTAATTCCGTTCTGGAGACAAAGAAATGACAGTGGGATTTTATAGGTCTACAATTCGCAGCCCAAAAAACTGATGGGTGAGCACAAAACAGTATGAGAAACGCTGCTTTAACACTTGTTGCATCTTTTGTTTGTAATAAAACATATTTCCAAACATAAGTCTTTTTGTAGTATTTGTCGATAGGCTTTCTTCCATAAATTTAATCGATCCTAGAATAATTTGAATAATTCGAACATTTCCAAAACACGTATATTTTCTTGGGAATGATTTATATAAAATATGCTATAAACAACGAATGGTAGAAATACTTATCGAGTGTGCATCGTTCGAACACGCCATTCTTAAGCTTGTTTTTGTCGCGGATCGGCACAATGGAAGGCGGCCTCGTACCAAGCGTCACGTGACATTTCATCGTATTCCATTCGGTCATGTGACTACTACTCACTCGCCTGGCATCTCTAACGTGTTTTTAAATAACTTATTCTTAAATTAACTAAAAATTCTACCTATGTGAGGTAGATAATAAGGAATTTTCACCATTATTATCTACATCACATTAGTAAATTTTTAGTTAATTTAATTACACCAAGGGCTATAAGCAATATTTATATTTTAACTTATTCTTGTCGAGTAAGAATTCCCTTATCTTTAGAGACATCACGTGATTTATCTACCACTCTGAAGTGCTCCCGGACTACAGGTTGATAAATTTTGCATTAGTTACGTTTCCGATAATATAGTTACGTTCTATAAGAATACAATTTTTAGAAACTAAAATTACAAAAATATGATTTTATTTTAAAATTTAAATTAATGTTATATAACAATATTTTACGTAGAATTTATGTAAGATAAATGACTAATTGCATTTAAAGACTTTCGTTTGCTTTATCTAAAACAATAGATGAAACGTGCGTTAGTAGTAATCAAACTGTTTGTGTTGACGGACCAGTACTTTTGTCAAATTAAATAATTATTAATTTAAAGGGTTTACATTTTTTCATAATTACAACTGCATAAGTATTTCTTTACTAGAAATATTACTCAGCACAAAGATAAAAAGTCGGTGCCGTATGCAACTTGGAATAACGACTATACTCTCACACAACTGCAGTTAGACTTTTAAGAAAGTTGTAGGGGTCCTGGGATTAGAGTTAAGTCCCTTCAGCTGTAGTCTTTTTAAACAAATTAAATATGTAGATTATTTCTTTATTAATAAAAAGCAATCATAATGATCTTAATATTTTCTTTTTAGTAAATATAAAATTTTCGAGGAATAGGAACCACGACGAAATCTTTCAGACTGTTTTTAACATGTAAGAAATATGACGTCACTGATCTATCACGTGATATCTCCAAAGACAAGGGAGGCTGCGTTTCTTTATGCAGCGAGAGTGCAGCGTAAATAACGTCACGAGCCGCTATCGCTAGACGTAGCTGCATCATAGTTTAAAAACGCTTTCCGCTCGAGCGAAACATGAACGTCATAATGTATTCTTTAATTCCAGTTACAGCCGAAAATAGTGCTTTAGTTAAAGAACTACAATATTTAAATAAAGAGATATAAAGAATCGAGCATTTATTTATACTAATATTATAAAGAAGTAATGATTGTAAGTATGTATTTTATATGTAAGTTTGTTTGCAGCAGGTAATCTTCGAAACTACTTATCCGATTTCAAAAATTCTTTCACCAATATTTAGAATAGAACCTCAGGGTGGACATAGGCTGTATATTATTCCGTTAAACATTCATATAAATTAAAATATATAATCTAGGTTAAGGCTTTTATGTCCAACAGATGGCGCTACGAGTACGACGCCCTAAGTTTGCTTTTCTGTGAAAATGAACTAAAGCAGATCATCTTCTATCTATCTACATAAATAAAAATGTAATGTTCGTTTGTTCTTACCGATTCCTTTGAAATTTTGACACAATGCTGCATTCGAAT